TGGAATGTAACTTAAAAATCTATTTAAATCTTATTTCTAATTAAGAAATGAGTTTAAGATATGGTAAAACAAACGGTTTCAGATGACCTACATTTGGCAATTTTTATTGTAATCTATAAAATTCTCATATAAAACTCAGTGTGATTCAGATTTATGCTCCTTAGTAGATACAACCTTATCAAAATGTTAAATCAGGCTTGGTGTGGTGGCGTATGCCTTTAGTCCCAGGACTCTGGAGGCAGAGGCAGGAGGATCTGTGTGAGTTTGAGACCAGTCTGGTCTACATAGTGAGTTCCAGGCCAGCTGGGGCTACAGGGAGACCCTGTCTCAAAAAAGACCAAAAAAAAAAAATGTGGCTATTACATATGGTTTTTATTATTCTGAGGATATATCCTGTGTTGACAGCATACAATACCTTTTTAAAATAACATTTTTTTTTTCAGTGCCTCCTTCAATTTTGGGCAGTAGTTCCATGGAAAAGCTGGGGCTACAGGGAGACCCTGTCTCAAAAAAGACCAAAAAAAAATGTGGCTATTACATATGGATTTTATTATTCTGAGGATATATCCTGTGCTGACAGCATACAATACCTTTTTAAAATAACATTTTTTTTTCAGTGCCTCCTTCAATTTTGGGCAGTAGTTCCATGGTGGCAGTGGTGGTGAATAACCTGGTGAGGTTAGAGTGTGAGGCCAGGGGCATCCCTGTCCCAAGTCTGACCTGGCTGAAAGATGGGAGCCCTGTTTCTAGCTTCGCTAATGGAATACAGGTATCCTCTTTATTTCTATGGCCACATTATTCAACACAGGATGCACAAACTCATAAAGCAGTAGAAGAGATTTGGAGAACAAGGATCAACAAATGCTATCTTTAAAATAATTTTATTTATTATTTTTATGTGTACGTGTGTATTGCCTGCATGTAGGTAAGTGCACCCATATCATGCAATGCCCATGGAGGTCAGAAAAGGCTGTAAGATCCCCTGGAACTGAAGTTACAGACAGTTGTTAGCTGCCACGTGGGTGCTGGGATTCGAACCTGGGTCTTCTGCAAGAACAGCCAGTGTTCCTAACTGCTGAGCCATCTCTCCAGCCCCAACAAATGTTATTTTTAAAAGTATATATACATATGCACCCATAACTGCCTTTATAGATGGACAACTGATATTTCAAAACAATTGAAAGCTCCGTTTTTCCAAAAGTTCCTTTCCCTCAGAGATGGTGTTAAATTTAACCTATTTGCTGTAGTTAGTGGTTCATTTCTGCCTGTCTCTCCTTCCTACTCCTGACACAAGTAATGTTCATCAACAAAAATACAGGGATTTTCTGGTAGAGTCTATGTTCAAATGTCTGGAAATAATAATGAATCTGAGAAGCACATAGAGCTTACACACATCTATAAAAACATAAAAGAATAAAGTCAGAAAAAAATATAATGGAAACATTATGAAAAATGAAACCCAAGTCTTACAAAAATTTAAGTGTAGTACATTGACTCAGAGTCAAACATACAGAAGCACATAAAGAGGCATTCCTTGTTTTATTTGGTTTCCTTTTATTGTCCATTGCAGATATTTTATTTTTTACAAATTAAAGGTTTGTGCCAACCCTTCTTTGAGTAATTCTGTCAGGTCCATGTTTCCAACAGTTCAGATGTTCATTGATACTTTTTAGATACTTTATTCATTATCTCTGAATGATAAGAATTTATAATGATTGCCACCCATAAGGCAGGTTAAACCCACTGAGTGTTTTCAAGAATCTTGTTGACAAAGATTTTTATGTTTTTCAAGACTTTTAAACACATATATATATATATATACACTTTGTTTTAGACTTAATGCTAATGTACACTTAACAGACTACAGGACAGAGTAATCATACCTTTAATATACACCAGGGAGCAACAATTTTGTTTGTCTTGCTTTATTACAATATTTGCTTTATTGCAGTGGTCTGGAACTGAACTCAAAATATCTCCAACAGATGACTGCATCTGATTGAAATTCTAGCTATATTGAATAACACAGGTCATGGTTCTTGTAACATTGTGTTTTTTAAACCTATTTGTTCATAATTTATGTGCACAAAAGACAGAGCTCATGTCAACATTTGGAGGAACTGTGAGATCTGTGGGATAAAGGATCAATGAAAATGGCTAATTAATTTTTTGGCGGCTATTTTATTATTGATTGTAACATTTTACATATTTTATCAAAGAAAAATTTGGAGAATTACTTCTTATTCCCACTTCTTTTTGTCCCCCTGTGGCTTTCTCTCATCCGTGAAAATCAGAGTAAATAAGTGGAAATTTTCACCTACCATTCAAATGGGCATAATGGTTACTCAGCTTTCTTTTTGGTAGGTTCTCTCTGGAGGCCGCATCTTAGCACTGACCAGCGCACAGATAAGTGACTCAGGGAGGTACACCTGCGTGGCAGTGAATGCTGCTGGGGAGAAACAGAGGGACATCGACCTCAGAGTATACGGTGAGACTAGCTAGCTGTGTATGTGCTGAAATAGACATGCTAGCATCCTGAGGTCATTGGAGGCGTTACAGGAGGTTGTTGACAGTAAGGAAAAATGGACAAAGGGCTGATATTACAAATCAACTCAAATTAAGTTCTATTTCTGCTTAGGTTTGAGTTTGACTTTTTCTCCCTTTAAAGCTCTGAGATATTGAGGCTGAAGAGATGGCTCCAGGTTTACTGTGCAAGCATGAGAACGTGATTTGAATCCCTAGTACAATGTGAAAAATACCAAGCATGACTAATGTTAAATTTAACACCCATCTCTGAAGAAAAGAAACTTTAAGAAATACTGAGCTTTCAATGAATTGTTTTGAAATATCAGTTGTATGTCTGTGACAGGAATTTATGGGTCCATATGTGCATATTCTTTCAAAAGAACATTTGTTGATACTTGTTCTCCAAATCTGGTTTTGGAGAACAAATCCTTGTGAAAAACTAGGTATGGCTACATATGTCTATAACCATAGGGTTGGGAGGCAGAGACAAATGGACCCTGGGAGCTCACTGGCTGGTCAGCCTAAACAGAACAGCTAACTTCAGGTTCAGTGAGACTCTGCTTCAACGTAAGAAAGCAAAGAGTGATACCCGATGTTCTGCTCTGGCTTCTGTGTGTATACCTACATGCACATGTGCATGCATGTGCATGTATACATCTATACATCTCCTCACCCACAAAAATAAAAAATTTTAAAGGTTAGATATTAGAATGTATACATCCATGTAGGGTATCATTTTTTAAATTATTCTGAAGAACATGGGTATAGATCACAGCACTACAGTTTAGATGACATAATGTAACCAGAACAAATGTTTTTTTGAGTTGCTCTCTTTCATCTACTCAAAGTCGTGATTTCATTGCTTCTAATTATATTTACAAGAGACATATTTTGTGATCAACACCATGCCTAAAAGTTCCAGCCTATTTGAGAAACATGAGTTAGACATAAATTCACACAAAATCTAATTCTTTTTCCTACCCACAATACAGCCAATTTGATCTGGAAGGGAACATTTGATGCCATCTCAGATGCCTCCAGAACAAATTTGGAGCGTCACTGACCTTGATTATTCATAGACGATATTTGTCATTCTATATCCTGGTATATGCCATTTAGACTTCATTCAGTGTCTTACTGGCACTGAGAGGCCAGTCCTCTATTTCTGCAGTAGGTGGTGTCAAGTGGGCCTGGAGGATGGTAAAGACTAGTGATTTAACAACAGTTATCTAATGTGCAGCATTGTTTTATCATTTGCTAAGATGTCTACATCCCACCTCTTTATGCTTAAAATTAGGATAATAGTCCTCTGGAACAAAGATCAAATGATAT